CCTTCTGGCTCTGCAACCCCCTGACAGGAGGGGGGAGCTGGGGGGGGTCGGGCTCTGCTCTCAGGGAACAAGGGACAGGAGGAGAGGGAACAGCCTCAAGTTGTGCCAGGGGAGGGTCAGGTTGGATATTGGGAAAATTCCTTCCTGGAAAGGGCTGTCCAGCCCTGGCACAGCTGCCCAGGGCAGGGGTGGAGTCCCCATCCCTGGAGTGGTTTAAAATCATGTGGATGTGGCACTTGGGGACATGGGTCAGTGGTGGCCTTGGCAGTGCTGGGGATGGTTGGACTCGATGATCTTGGAGGCCTTTTCCAACCAGAACAATTCCATGATTCCATGAAGAGCTGCCGATATTCGGGTGCGACAGGTCTGGCCCCCTCTGGCATGGGTGGGCACGGGGGTGGGCACAGGGGGTGCTCAGGGCTGGGGGAGCAGCTCACCTTGTTGAGTTTGTTGGTTTTGGGCAGGGTCTGGCTGACGTGCAGGTCCGAGTACCGGGGCGGCTTCCGCAGGGGGTTGTTGATGTCGCAGGGCACCGACTCTGTCCGGACTAACCTCGCTGGATTGGGAAGGGACAGAGGGACAAAGGGGATGGAGAGGAGGGGGAGAGAGAGGGAGAGACATCAAAGCTCTGCAGGAGCCCTCGGGGTCACCCTGTGCTTGCAAACCACTCTGGAATCGCTCTCCCAAGCGATTCCTTCCCCCTGGCACCTCCAGCTCGGATCCTGCCCTGGGATGGTAGCTGGGCTTTGGGATCCCCTGCTCCCAGGCTACAGCCAACCCCTCTGGGATGTGGGGGGCTTAAAGCCCCTCATGGTGGGCTGTGAACTGCCCACTTCTCCCCCCACCGAGGGGCTGCAGTTTGGGGGGGCTCAGCAGCTGCCACAGCCACCCCCAGAGCCGGGGATCAGCACTGGGAGGAGGCACAATCCTCTTCCTCCCCACAGCTTTTTTGGGATGAGGGGAAAGAGTTGGCTCTCAGCAGGGAGACTTCTTTTCAGGGGCGAAAGCCGGCCTGCAGGTTGGGGGGCTCAGGAACGGTTGGTGTGCAAGACAACGTGTTTAAGAGCTGGGTTTGGGGGGTTTTGTTTTGGGGGGGGGCAGAGCTATTTCACTGGTGCTGAGGCCACCCCAAAGCCACGCTGCTCCTTGTGCCCACGCTCAGAGACACCGTGGGCAGCTCCAGCTCTCGCAACCTCACGTCCCACAGCCATAAACTCCAATTTCTGCCCATCCCAGGAGCCCTGGAACAGTGGGATCTTGCCTTCCCTGCCTCCTGGTCAGGGTTTGCAGCAGCTCTCAGCGTGACGGGGTGGGGTCTTCAACCCCTTCCACCCAAATTTGCTGCAGGGAAGGGCCTGGGGAGGGGGAGGGGGGTGAAGTGGAAGCTGTAAAATTGCCCCCTCCGAGGCACAACGTCCCCACTCGTGAGGTGCCACCAACACGATCCACTCCCCCGCCAGCAAACCAACAACATTTGTGGTGATATTTAAACACAAAGCCACAGCTTTAAGAGCTCAAAATTCAAGGCAGCAGCAACTGGCAGGTGGTCACAGTCCTCTGGCCGTCAAGGGGCAGCCAAAATCTGGAAGAGAAGGGGTGGGGAAGCGGCGGCCCCATCGGTCGTTCCTGCTGCAAAGTTCTCCCTCCTCTGCGGGTTTTAGGACGGATTTTAGAGCGGGATAAGGCAGCTCCGAAAGCACCACGAGCATCCACGTGGCCACATCCCCGTCGTGGGGGGACCCCCATGCACCGCTTTCGGGGTCCCACCGTCCGCCCTGAGCAAAAAAAAAAAGGCTAAAACCTGTTGGACTTACCCCGTGCTGTGGGGAATCTGAAAAGAAAAGGAGGCAGGGGGAGGGTGGGTGGAAGTGGTTTGCAATGCAAATCTGCCTCGCCCCGCACGGCTCGTCTCCCTACAAGCGGAAAAAACGGTGGGTAAAGTTTTCCCAGAGCGCCCGAAGCGGTTCGGGAGCCTCCCAGGGCCCGGCTCCCGAATCGCCCCGGGGGGCTGCTGGAAGTTTTACCTGCTGGCAACGTCCCGTGGAGGCACGAGGGGGGTGGGAGAAAGGCCCTTACCTCCTCGGTGGATGATCAGCAGGTGACACGGAGGGGCCTCTTTGGTGCATTTGTTGTGGCACTTGAGCCTGGCAGGGAACAGAGAGACAGGAGTGAGGGCTGAGGGAGACACGGAGCGCCCCGGGATGGAGAGCACGGAGGGGCAGGACAAGGGGGAGCGGCTTCCCGCTGCCAGAGGGCAGGGTCAGATGGGATATCGGGAAGGAATTCCACCCTGGGAGGGTGAGGAGGTCCTGGCGCATATTCAAGGATTGTCTGATTAGCAGGAAGAAATGTCCCCTTCCAAAAGTGACATCCCAGCGGGAAAAGCTGGGAGGGGAAACAGAGGGAGCGGCTTGTGAGGGTGTGAGGGAGAAGAGAAGGCTCCAGGGAGAGCTGAGAGACCCTCCCAGGGCCTAAAGAGGCTCCAGGAGAGCTGGAGAGGGACTGGGGACAAGGGATGGAGGGACAGGACACAGGGAATGGGTTCCCACTGCCAGAGAGCAGGGATAGATGGGAGACTGGGAAGGAATTGTTGGCTGTGAGGATGGGGAGGCCCTGGCACAGGTTGCCCAGAGAAGCTGTGGCTGCCCCTGGATCCCTGGAAGTGTCCAAGGCCAGGCTGGATGGGGCTTGGATCAACCTGGGCTAGTGGAAGCTGTCCCAGCCCATGGCAGGGTGTTGGAATGAAATGTGCTTTAAATGAGCTTTATTTTTCTGGTGCCTCTGAAGGAGGGCTTGAGTGACTGTCTCAAGCAGAGACATTACAG